TTCAATCCCCCAGCACCACATGCCAGCCAGCCCTGCCCCCTGGTGGGCTGAGCTGGCCACACACACACACACACACACACACACACACAATAAATGTTAAAATAAAAAAAAAATTAAAAAAAAAAAAAGAAACTTTAGTAATCATTCACACAGGCAATGTGCTTGTACTTTCTTTTGAAAGAAGCAAATAAAAACCTTACATAAGTAAAATGTACTTACCTCCACTTGCATATTCCATGATTAAGTAGAGTGTCTTTTCAGTTTCAATGACTTCAAACAACTTCACTAGGGAAAGAAGAGGATATAAGAAAAATATCTGTGTGTGTTCAAACCATGTATATATACTCTCTCTGTCAAAGATTTTAATACCTGGCCCTCTAAAAAGCACCTGTACAGATTTTCTTCTTTTCTGAAACTGTCTCACTGTGCAGTATAGGCTGGCTTTGAAATTGTTATGTAGCCATGGCAGGCCTCACAGTTGCAACCTTCCTGACTCAGCCTCCTGAATTCAGGGATTACAGGTGAGTTACCCACACCTGACTTGGGGAATTCTTATTATATATTACAAAGGAAAGATTTTTTATAAAAGCAAAAAATTCTGTAAAAATAAAGATTGTTTCTGGGTGTCCAAGTGTTCTCAGCAGTGCCCTTGCTACTGGCCATGACAGTGTCTGTGCTAGCTCACGGCCCTCTAGAGGGACACCCTGTGCCTCACTTCTCAGCCCAAAGGCAGCCAGGGCTACTCTTGCTTGCAGTGTGGCCTGTTTACCAGGCACCATGACCTGAGCAAGTGATTCCACACAAGACCTCTGTGGCACAGGTACTTATTTCAAATTCCAAAGAACAAGGTTTCTTTGTTACTGTTCTAAGGCTAGAAATAGAAAGTGGTATAAGGGATTATATGGCAATTAACCAAAGACTTTTTTTTAAAAGAATGATTTTTCAGGAGGTCAGTGTGATTTTGTTATACAGTTCCTTATTACAGATGGAATATATTACTAATTGTAAACACAATTGTGTGTGTGTTTCTAAGGCGACCTAGTCATCATCGTGTATATCTACTTTATTAGTACACCTTTAAAATTAAATTTACCCAAAAGAGAAGGGGGATGCTAGTCCTTTTATTCTAAATAATTTTCTGATGCTTTAGTAGAGTATTAAATTGAAGTACCTAATTGAATAATAAATTTTTGTCCTCATCATTGTTTTTAAGATAGGTCTTGGTTTGTAGTACAGGATGGCCTTAAACTTATTCTGTAGCCCAGGCTGGCTGTGAACTCAATTCTCTTCCTGATTTAACCTCCTTACAGGTGTGTGCCACCACACCCAGTTTAATCAACAAATGCTTGATAAACAGATGAACAAAACTAACAAAACCACTGCTTAGGCTCTAGTAGGCTCAAATCCAGAAAAAAAATTTTTTTTTAATAACATTTAAGACATAAGTGTTGATAAACAACATAAAAATGAAATCCTTCTCATATTCCAACATAAACTTTGGCTCTCTTGGGAAAATTATTTCAATGTAATGGGAATTGTTTTTGTTTTTTGGGACAGGATCTTGCTACATAGTCCAGGCTGGCCTCAAACTCACATCACCAGCTTCAAGTTCCAAAGTGCAATGATCACAGGTATAAGTGACCACACAACTTGGCTTCAACAGAAACTTCTAAAAATTTCTATTATCGGGTTGCAGTATAGCTCAGTGGCATAAGCACCTGCCAGGCAAGGTCCTGAGTTCAATCCCCCGTATTGAAGAGGAGTAAAAAATTCTACTCTCAAAGATATGTCATTTAGTAAGAATGCTAACCAGTGCATAATTTAAGAGGTTAAAAAGTAAAATAAATATGTTTCAATTAGTTCTAGGCAAAATAATAACAACAAAATTAGTTTTAAGCAAGAAAGTATTTTTTTGGAGAAAAAGTTGGAATTTGAAATGCAGAGTTGGCTTTGCAAAGAATGAAGATTTTCACTTATTTATTCCTTATCATTTTTCTTTTCTTCAAATAAATGTCTTACTGATTCTAAGATATGCATTTTTTAATATTTTAATTATTATCATGGATATCAGGATGATCACCTGGCAGCATTGTTCTGTCTTCAGCTGTCTTGATAAAATAGGGGATAAGTCTTTATGTTCAGGTATATAATCTAAATTATGAAGTTCTATGTAAATGTCTTTCCCTCCAGTGATTTTTATGTTGTTATTCTTATGCTTGAAGAATTTTTCATAAGCCATCCTTAACACTAAACATTACCCCTCTCATTAACTCATGAAATATATTTTTAGTTGTAGGAGCCATTACTATAGAAAAAGGCAGCTATATTATTATTTTTTTGTATTCAGTAGAAGGTCTACAGGGTCTCACTACGGAGATCAGACTTGTAGTGATCCGCCTGTGTTCGGCCTCCCAAGTGCTGGGATTACAGGTACGTGCCAACATGGCCAGTCTCAATCTCCGTCTTAGCGCACCCCAGGGGCAGGGCTGGCATGGCATGCTGGTGATTGAACCCCAGCTGCTGCGCTCTGCGTAAGCAGGCGCTTTAGGCTGCTGAGCTATTTGGCCAATCCTTATATTATTTAAAGAGCCAAATTATGATCTATGTGTAATCTAAAGCTTTACACACACACACACACGTGACATCATCAGTCTGCATAGTTCATCTTGCTCCTTGCTCCTACAATTACTATGCAGGCAGGGCCATGCCCCTTCCTCATCTTCAAACACTGGTACACAGCAGTGCACAGAAAATACATGAAACAAAATCTATTTTTTAAAATTTATTTATTTTTAAAATGTATTTAGTACAGGGTGTACAGGGTCTCACTACACAGATCAGACTCACAGTGATCCTCCTGCTTTCAGCCTCCCAAGAGCTGGGATTACAGGCGCGTGCCACCACGCCCAGTCTCAGTTGCCATTTCGGTGTGCCCTGGGGGCAGGGCTGGCACAGCACACTGGGAACCAAACCCTGGTCTCTGCCTCTGCCTAAGCAGGACCTTTAATCCGCTGAGCTATCTGGCTGGCCTATAAATCTATTTCATGTATCTGTATCTGTATCTGTATCTGTATCTGTATCTGTATCTGTATCTATCTATCCCCCCGGAACTGGGGATTGAACTCAGATCCTGTGTTTGCCAGTCAAGCACTTATCCTACTGAGCCATCTCCCCGGCCCCTACAATTTTTTTTTTTAAACTGTATTTGGTACCGGGTCTCACTACGCAGCTTGGACTTGTGATCCTCCTGCTTTCAGCCTCCCCAGTTCTGGGATTACAGGCCCATACCTGGTCTCAGCTGGAGCAGCATGTGGTACAGGGGTCGTATTTCAATTGTAACTCAAGGTCTTAAGTATTTTTTTGGTTATTAGTCACATTAAAGTTTATTTTATAATATTAATTCTGATTTCATACAATTCTATCCTTTCTAGGTATGGATGAAATACTCTTTTGTTTTATCTTGTTTTTTTAAGGTAGAGCCTCATTATATTGTTCAGAACGGCTTTAATCTCACTATGTAGTCCAGGCTAGCTTCAAATTCAAAGCAATTCTCCTGCCTTAGCCTCCTGAGTGTGGGATTAATTTTAATTTCTAACACATGAAAAATTAGAAAATTACATTTCTACTGAATTAAAGCCTTAAGTTCAAATGGCTAATGCCTAAACTTTTAACTTGACCCTAGTAATTTTGAAAAGCTACTACAAATAATCAACAATTTGTATATGTGTTTTATTAAAAGTATACCTAGCTAGACTGGTGGGAGGGAAAGTCTTTTTATCATTTCAGGAATAAGCTTAGCCTTATGACATACTTTCAAGAACACATTTCAACCCAAAATTATTTAAGAAAGCAGAAAGTACCTATGTTTGGATGATTTAAAATCTTCATTATTCTTACTTCTCTGAAGAGCTAAAAAAACAAAAACAGAAACAAACAAACAAAAAACAAAAAAAACAAAAAAAGGAAAAGCAAAAGACAATCCCCCAATACGTTATTAAACAGTATACTCCATTGTTGCAATATAAATTTAAATTTTCTCTGAGGTTCTTGCTAATGTTTTTATTCCACATCTCTGACTAATATGAAAGTCCAGAGTGGCTGACTCTGAAGTAGGTTTATAACCTATTACCAAATAGCATTCCTAAATATTTCCATTTATGAAAACAGCAGTAGCCCCAAGAGGGACAGTGCAACATTCTAAATTTTATTTTGTTATCTTGAAAAGATGATGTCAGTCTTAGGCAAAAAGTTTGTAATTAAACAGTCTGACCCAGTAGGTACCCAGGATTCCAATTTCATGAATTAAAATGTATACAATCCTGATGAATTACCTCATGGCTATATTAAGCCAACTGTTACAAATAATCCTAGGATAAGATTTTGAATAAAACCAACTTGAGAAATTCTTGCTGGAAAATATGGGTGACTTAGCATGGAAGCTGTGGTAATGACCTTGACAAGTCATGCAAATGAGCAGGCAGAAGCCCTTAGGATGCGCCAGCATGTGTCTCACTGACTCTGTCTGACCCAGAGTAAAATCAGCAGCCAAGGACAGGTGGCCTCGAAGGGCTTTGACATATGACTGAAAGGCAGAAGGCAGGGACATGGAATCCAACAAATAACCGTTCCTATGTGAAACACTGGCTCATTTTTAGAGGAAGAGGCCCTTTTTACCTTCAACATAAATAGCCTATTCCTATTGGAGCCATCCCCACATTTTATATTCTGCGATGAGAAGACACTCACCCACATATCTGACAAACGTTCAAGTTTGAGTTCTTTTTTAGCTTCTCTCCCTCAGGCTAAGAGAGAAATCCTTTACAGCTGAATGTGAAGCTATCACTTGTGGCTCCCAATTGCACTCACAGTGACTAGATTAGAAGTATTCAAGGTGGATACCAGACCAGCACAGGCTTGCACACTAGCCTGCCCATGGCCTCCACCGTGCTCTGGCATCCTCCCTCCTCTGGTTACAAGGACACACTTGGTTCTTCCAAGTCTCTTCATCTTCAAGTATCAGTCAAATTCTCGGGAACTACCTGGTAGGTCTTTGTTCTTCCCTAGAGTGTCCTTCAAGTTATGATAATGCATTTTTGTATACCTGTTTATTATGACCAAACCTGGCACACAACAGAAACACATTTGTTTGGTAATTGTCTGCAAGAAAGCACTAACAATAAATGTGGTTATGCCAGTCTCCTTACTTAGCCTTCTAAGTAAGGGACTTCCATCCTAGAAGCAAAGAGCTGTCAGAGAGCCATCATTATTCTGCTCCTTTTTCTGTTTCTTTTGAAACAGGGTTCCACTGTGTAGCTCAGGCTGACCCTGAACTCATAGTGATCCGCCTGCCTCAGCCACCTGTGAGCTGGGGTCACAGGTATGTGCCACCATACCCAGCCAGTTCTGCTCATTTTAAAATCCCTATGAGCAGAGCAGTAGAATTTAAACAAAGCAAATTAAAATCAAAATCAGAAGATGGAGTACTATGGGAACTCAGGACTCACCAAAGAGTTAAAAGGTGTCCACTGCTGACCATGGGTATGTGTGCTCCGTGCAAGTAAGGGAAGATGACAACGCATGATCAGGTCAGTGACCCCTGCTGGCCACAGCAGTATTTTTCAGGGAGAGTCCAGTCGGCTTGCACTGATTGTAAGGGTATAGGAATCTCTGTCCTATCTACCATTCCATTTGAATCAGGCTCTCAGTATTTTAACTGTGTCTAAACATGTCCTGCTTGTATTAGGCTGCAAATAATGGCAGAACTATATTAACTACTTTTGTTAACAGTTTAAATTGTTGGCTTGCTGAAAGATAATATAAAAGGAAAGAGAAAAAAGAACAGCTGTTCAATGATTAAGATTCCCAAGATGACCTTCACTTCAGCTGATGAAGGAGTTCCTGAGCCCAGGGACAAACAGTCTAGTTCAGAGCCCTAGGACCCTGGACTCTGGCAGCAAAGGTTGCCCCTTGAGAAAGTGCTCCACCTGCTGTGCCCTGGACCACGCCACCACCCAGCCCCAACCAGGATCTCTAGGAGAAAGTGCCTATACTGGGAAAAGACACTTTTGGTCTTTCAAATCTTCACAAATAATTCTAATGGACAGTACAGGCTGGAGACTACTAGTTTGAGGAAGCTAAAGTGACAGTGTCCTACACTGCTCAGTAGTGGCAGCATTAAAAGAAATTATACAAAAAATTACATGAAAACCATAAACTGGTTATCTCTATACTTTCAAACTGAAAGTTTCTTGATGTCGTACAAGAAAGATGCCCTGGAGGCCAGCACTGCTACAGAAGTCTAAGCAACAGTTAACAACAATAACTCTCAGACAAAATTGTTCTTTGCTTACTTCTTGATGTATCTGATTTTCTAGGACAGGATCTCCTTATGTAAGGCTGGTTTTGAGCACACTATGTCCAGGTTGGCCTCCAACTCATAGTGGTATTCCACCCTCAGCCTCCTGAGAATTCGTGTTGTAGATGCGCACCACCATGCCCAGCAAAGAATAGCCTTTTTGAAAACAAAGAAGGCAACCAACCAACAACTAAAGACCCATATGAGTGTGAATAGGACTTCCCTAAAGAACTCTCTGATGGAAAATAATCTACAGTCAATCAAAGCTTCAAAAATACATTTGGTAGCAGGAGTAGTAGTACTCACCTGTAACACTAACACTTTGAGAGGCAGAGGCAGGAAAATTTATTCTTTCTTTTTTTTTTTGGTGGAACCGGGGATTGAACTCAGGCCCTTGCGCTTGCCAGGGAAGTGCTTATTCCACTGAGCCAACTCCCTGGCCCCTAAAGGCAGGAAAATTTAGATACACGTCCAGCCTATGTAGCTAAGTGACTTGGTAAGATCTTGTCTCAAAAAATTTTTAAAAATGGGGTATAACTATGAATGTCCATTTTGTATCTATGTATTCAAAGTGGTTGGGATAGATATATAGTTGCATTCTCTTAATGAATAGAATGATTT